GAGAGAGAGAGAGAGAGAGAGAGAGAGAGAGAGAGAGAGAGAGAGAGTTTTTTTGCAAGTCATTTTCAGGATTAAACAGGGTCCACCTGAGCCCAGAAGTCTTTGTGAGGCATGAGGGACTTTGAGAGGTCTTTCCTTTCCCTACTTTGACTCCACACCTTCTCCCTTTGGGGTTTGAATTAATTTGACTCAAACTGGCAGTGAGTCCCTATAAATAAACCATGATTATTTCAAAAAAGTTCAGTTGGTCTTAGTGGGCTACTAATATATCATCGTTCAATAGTATGAAATCTTTTGCCACAAATGAGGAAGGTGATGGTACTGCTCTCCTCTGTCATTTTCAGAGTACACCTGAGTATTTTATTCTGTCCTGTATGTTATATTTTAGGAACAATCTTGATTTCTGGAGCATGCACACAGAAGGTTTATTGGTGTCTATTCCATAGGAGATATAGTTATGGAATCGATTATAATCATTTTGGAGAATGAAAATTCAAGCGTGGGTGGGTGAAGTATTTGAAGATGTGTCTTATGTAAGAGAGATTAGACATATTCTGCTTGGCCCTAGAAAGCAAAACAGAGAGTAATGGCTGCAATGTTCAGAGCCAAATTTTGGCTCAATGCAAGAAAAAGTTTCCTGAAAAAATGAATAAATTCACAATTGTCAGAAGAACTCTCCTTCACTGGAGGGCTTCAATGGGGTATCTACTTACTGGGTGTGTTAGAGAGAATATTTCTTTCAGGCATCGATTAAATTTGATGAACTCTGGGAGCCCTCTGACTCTACATTTCTGTCATTCCCTCACTCTATCCCTCTCAAAAATTCTATGGACCTTTGGTGCCTCGCCTGATGTTTACATAATACCATTGATTCCAGATACCTGGGGGGAAGGAAATGAGAGTCCATCCTCCTGGTCCTCATATATCCCCTGTGAGCTCCACCTAGCACATGTGAGAGGATCTCCTTCCCTTGACATTTCCTTGGTTGTTCTCAAATCAGAAAAGTTTTTTTTTTGTTTACCAATCTCTAGTTAGCTATCGTTAGAGGTGAGCCTCTGCGAAAACTCCTTTGCATCTGTGAATCACTTCACTTAGAAAGATCTCAGAAAGGACACTCAGTAATCTGAATGAATCTAACATATTTATACTATGAATGAAGGTCCTTTCTGGGGAGCTACTCCAGACCCTACCATATGGAGCCTCTGTGTTACCATGCAGGGAATATCTTTACATTCAAAATTAAAGGAGAAGTAAATCAAAAGGGAGGGCAGCTAGGAAGCAACAAGAACATTCAGGGAAAAGATTGGCAGTAAGTATCAGGTAGGTCAAACCCCCATAATCACCATCTTCAGCACCACCAGCTCTTAGAACCTGGTGGAAACAGCCAATAAACTAGAGTCCAGAATCTAGCCTTTCCCTAAAATTCAAAATTCTTAGAAAAAATTAATGTGGAGAACAAGATGAATACTATATCATCATCATCATCATCCTCATCATCCTCAACATCATAATTTATAACTAACATTTATGTAGTACTTACTATGTGCCAGGCATTGTGCTAACATTATACAAACACATATGTTTGTATGAATTTATATGTATGTGTATATATAATATATATATATGTTATCAAAAGTATATGGTTGCAAGAGTTAAATTATACACACACACACACACACACACACACACACACACCCTCCCTACCCACCTCCCTCCCCAAGAGGCTGTGCAATCTGATATAGGCTATACATATACATTCCTATTAAACATATTTTCACATTAGTGATGTTGTAAGTAAGAATTAGAACTAATAGGAGGAACCACCAGAAAGAGGAAACAGAACACAATAGAAGAAAAAAATAGCAAATAGTATGCTTCAATCTGCATTCAAACTCCACAGTTTTTTCTTTGGAGGCAGATAGCATTTTCCATCATGAGGCTTTTGGAGATGTCTTAGATCCTTGTTTTGCTGAGAAGGGTTAAGTCTATAAATATTATTCATAGCACAACGTGGCTGTTACTGTGTACGATGCTCTTCTGGTTCTGCTCACTTCACTCACTTCACTTACAAGTCTTCCCAGGTTTTTCTGAAGTCTGCCTGTTCAGATTTCTTACAGCACAACAGTATTCAATTATATTCATATATCACATTCATAGTTATGATTACTATCTGAGTCTTTTTCTCCATCTTTTTCCCCAGTTTATGCTTTTCTTTCTCCTTTCTCTTTTTCACTCCTCACTAATGTTTCACTTTTGACCACCACCTCCCTCAGTCACACCTCCCTTCTATTAGCCCCCTCCTTTTTCTTCTCCTTTACCCTTACTACTTCTTCCCTCCCTTGTATCTCTCCTCTCTTTCCTTTCCCCTTTTCCATCCTAGTCTCTACAGGGCAAGTTAGATTTTTACACCTAACTGATTCTGTTATTCCCTTCTTTAGTCAAATCTGATGAGAGTAAGGTTCAAACAATACTTATCTCCCTCCCTTCTTTCCCTCTGCTGTAATAGGTTTTTGTGTCTTTTCCTGTAATGTGATTTACCCTTGTCTGCCTCCTCCTTTCTCAGTACACCTTCTTAGATCAGACTAATCCATTTACTTGGATCCATTTAACCCACTTAATTAGATTTTTTTATCATTACATCAAAATCAATTTATACCCACCCATTTTGTGTATACCTCTTTAACATGGTGTAATAACAATACAGTTCTCAAGATTTAAAATTGTCATCTTCCATTGTAGGGATGTAAACAGTTTGCCTTCATTAATAACATGTTATCTGTCCCATTAACCTTTTTATGGCTTTCTTGAATCTTGTATTTGAAGATCAAATTTGTTGTTGAGCTCTGGTCTTTTTATCAGGAAGGTTTGGAAGTCCCCTATTTCATTGAATATCCATCTCCTCCCCTGAAAGATCATGCTCATTTTTGCTGGGTGGTTGATCCTTGGTTGTAATCCAAGCTCCTTTGCCTTGTGGAACATCATATTCCACACCCTATGGTATTTTAATGTACAAGCTGCATGGTCCTGTGTAATCCTGACTGTGGTTCCTTGATATTTAACTTGTTTCTTTTTGGCTGCTTGCAGTATTTACTTTTTGACTTGGTAATTTTGGAATTTAGCTACTATATTCCTTGGTGTTTTCATTTTGGGATCTCTTTCAGGAGTTGATTGGTGGATTCTTTCTATGGCTATTTTTCCTTCTGGTTCTAGGACCTCAGAGCAGTTTTCCCTTATGATTTCCTGAAAGATACTGTCTAGGCTCTTTTTTCATCATGATTTTCAGATAGACCAATAATTTTTAAATTGTCTCACCTGGATCAATTTTTCAAGTCAGTTATTTTACCAATGAGGTATTAAATATTTTCATCTATTTTTTCATTGTTTTGTTTTTGTTTGACTGATTCTTGCTCTCTCATAGCGTCATTAGCTTCCATTTGCCTGTTTCTAATTTTTAACAAATTGTTTTCTTCTATTAGATTTTGTACCTTCTTCACCATTTGGCCAATTATATTTTTTAGGGACTTGTGTTCTTCAGTGTACTTTTTTTCGGTTGTCCAACTGAATTTTTTAAGGACTTATTTTCTACAGTTAATTTTTGTCTTTCCTTTTCCAAGCTATTGACTCTCTTTTGCATACCTCTCATTTCTTTTCCCATTTTTTCTTCTACCTCTCTCATCTGACTTTTAAAATCCTTCTTGAGCTCTTCTAAGAAGGTTTTTTGAGCTTCAGACCAGTTCATATTCCCTTTCAGAGTTCCAGATGTGGGATTGTTGACAATGTTGTCCTCTTCAAAATTTCTGCCTTGATCTTCACTCTTCCCATAATAAGAATCTATTGTACATTTATTTTTTCTCATGTTGTT